AGAGAGACAGAGATGATGGAGATAGAGAGAACTAGAGAGAGAGAGTAGAGAGACAGAGATGATGGAGATAGAGAGAGCTAGAGTAGAGAGAAGAGGGAACTAGAGTCAGAGCTAGAGCTAGAGATAAAGAGAGAGAGAGATAAAGAGCTAGGGTAAAGATAGAGATGATAGAGATAGAAAGAGGTAGAGAGAGAGCTAGAGGAGAGATAGAGATGATGGAGATAGAGAGAGCTAGAGAGAGAGAGTAGAGAGAGAGAGATGATGCAGATAGAGAGAGCTAGAGTAGAGAGCTAGAGGGAGCTAGAGCCAGAGCTAGAGAGAGAGAGAGAGAGATGATAGAGATAGAGCTAGAGTAGAGAGAGAGAGAGAGAGCTCCATCACCACTGCCTGTGCCATCACCACCCATATCACTAGCATGACCAGTGTCACTACCACCAGTGTCACCATCTCTACATGGCACTACTATCAGTACCACCATCTCTACCTACAAGGGAGTTTCACAACGTTCACGGGGAAATTCCATTGTGTCTGATTTCCATTTTTCCACAAGATTTTGAAGCCCCTTTATACCCCTGGCCCCCGGTGTCATCATCACTAGTAGTGTCACTACCTGAATTGTGGTCATCCATGTTGCTGCCAAGACCAGTGTCACCATCACTATCCGGATCACCCTCACCTGTGACCACCTCCCTGACACCATCACCACCTGTGTCACCAGCACCAGAGTCACCATCTGTTATCTAACTGCCATCACGGTGTCCCCATCGCTATCGATGTCACCAAAATCCCCACACCTCCAGGGTGCTTGAAGCCTGGAACGTTTGCTCAGCCACCCAGCCTAGCTGGCTTGGCCACCTGAATAACAGACTGGCCTGGGGATCGGAGAGGACACAGAGCTAGCCCAGTCGTCCTGAGGACACCGTCCACACAGAGCCCTGGGCTGGGCTGGGCTTCTTTCTCTCTGATCAAGCTCCCTGCACCTTCTGACCTCAGCTCCAACCGCAAAACAAGCCCACGGGAGGCTGCTGGTCTGGGTCCCTCCCGACTTCTCCCCATACCTTCTCCTGGACCCCTGCCTTGGGGCTACCACAACTGGCCCCCAGGAGCTCCTCCTGGCCCCCACCTCTAGGATGCAAACCCTCTTTCCTGCTCCCTTTCAACTCCCTTAATGAGAAGCCACTCAGGTCCCACCTTCTACTGTGATACTTGTAGCCCAGAGCTATCCAATCGTTACCCCCAAAATAAGCCCTTACGTTTCACTTTTCCTTAGGGAGTCACTGTTCATTCGTACAGCACCCCTGCGCTGTGGGCAGAGCAGAAAGGGGAAACTGAGACCCAGAGAGGAGAAGTGTCCTGTCCGAGTTCCTCCATGGAGTCAGTGCAAGCCCTCAGGGACTGAATAGCTGGCGGGGTGGCCTCTGGACCCCCGGGTGCTCAGCACTGCCTGTCACGCCGCCTACTAGCCCTCCAGGTCGCTGCAGCCACATCCAGCTGCCCACACAGCCCTGGCATCTCAAGATCCCCAAGGGAGGGCCACCTTCACACTGGAGGAAGTGCGCCAGCACCCTCACCCCCTAAGCCTCACACCTACCCTGTGGCCTGCCCACAGGGCTCCCATGCCGGGCGTGGCCCCAGGAGGACAGAGGCTGAGATGAGACTGGGCTTTTCCCTTACGGGAAGCCAGAGTCCTGGGTCCTCTTGGTTAGCACGCCCCTCCGGCCCTCCTCCATTCATCCACCTTCGTCACCTGTCTACCTGATGTCTGTGCTTCTCCACATTGGCATCAATGCCTCTTCTTAAATGCCACTCGCAGGTCCTGTTCAAGGAGCCCTAGTGGCATAGTGCATCACACCTTGGGCTGCCAACCTCACGGTTAGCAGTTCAAACCCACCAGCCACTCCAAGGGAGAAAGAAGAGACTGCCTGCTCTCGTAAAGATGGACGGCCTCGGACACCCACGTGACGGTTCTATTCTGTCCTCTAAGGCCTCTTCAGGATCCCACTCACCTGTCTGGAGCGGGCCAGGGCTCCGGGCATCTGCATTTTAGCCCCCAGCTGACAAGTCTGTCCCCGCCCAGCTGAGAGACATACCTGGGTGATGCCCAAACTTATATCCTATTCCAGCCCTCTCTCTTGCTGCCCAAGCCCTCGGGGCCCGCCACATGCCCCTTAGGTCCCACGGAGCCAACTGTATGCCTGCCATGTGCAGACACCTCGCTGAGCCCCTCCACAGCATTTCTGACCACAGGCTATGTGCTAAGCACTGTGCTGTGAGCCCAGGGTGCTCTCCCAATGGTGCGCAGGGCACAGTTGCCGCCCCCCCCCTCACCCCACCCCGGGAGTCCACAGCCCAGGAGGCACTGTGGTTAGCACAGGATGGTCTCTGGGACACAGTAGATCTCTTCCCCACCTCCATCTTTCTCTCAAAGACAAACCTGGGTGGCCACACACCTGTCCTCCCTGTCACCTGGCCAGATCCAAACCTCAGCCCTGCCTGGTTCTCTCGGGGTGAGTTCCATCCCCAGGACAGCAGCAGGTACTCAGCCACACGGCACCACCACCACCACCACCACCACCCCGACATGCTGCTCCTTTATTGCCCGCCACTCTGCCCAGCAGGGAGCCCCACAACCCCTCCTTGCCAGAAGATGGATGGAAGAGTGCCCCCCAAGACAGAGACACCCCCATCCCTGTGGAGGCAAGTGCTCGGTGGTCAAAGGGGCAGAGCCCGGCCCTGCCCTGCCTCTGTCCTGGCTCCCCCATGAGCCCGGGCACTCCTGGGCCACCACCACCCCCCACTCACCCCAGCAGGCCCTTCCCTTTGACAAC